TTGAAATTCCTTCCTAACTCTGGAAATCCGCTATAACATCCCCTTCAGATTCTTTCAATCCCGCACCAACCCCCTTTATCTAATTCTTTTTTCCCCACGGGCTCCGGCGCCGCACGGGGGATTCCAGAATTCTCTCTTGGATTCAAAATTCTTGTCTAACTATGGAGTTCCTTTGTATTAAATCCTTCTCCATTTCATAAATCCATTTTTAAATCCTTAGCTAATCCGGAATCCGAAATTCCTTAGTTTTGGGAATCCTTCTATCAAATCCTTTTCTAATTCATTAAATCCTTTTATCAAATCCTTTCCTAATTCGCCCTTCCGCCAATGGCCCCGGCGCCGCGCGGGCAATTCCAGAATTCCCATTGGTATACCAAAAATCTTTTCTCATTCTGAAGATCCTTTATCAAAACATTTCCTAATTCCTGAAATGTTTGACCAAATCCTGTTCTAATTCGTTTTTTCCCCTACTGGTTGTGGCGCCGCTCAGGGAATTCCAGAAGTCTCTTTGAGATTCGAAACTTAATTCTAACGCTGGAAATATTGTATCAAATCCTGTTGTAACTCCTTCAATTCCTCCATCAAATCCTTCCCTATTCGTTTCCCGACTGGCTTTAGCGCCGCTCGGGCAATTCCAGAATTCTCTCTGAGATTTGTAATCCTTTTCTTATGCAGGAAATCCTTATCAAATCCTTTTCTAACTCCTTAAATCCTGCGCCGGTTCCCTCGCTAATTTGATTATCCCTAACGCCGCTCGGGCAATTCCAGAATTCTCTCTGGAATCTAAAATTCCTGTCTAACTCTGGGAATCCTTTGTCAAATCCTTCTCTAGCATTTTAAATCCTCTATCAAGACTCCTTCAAATTCGTTTTTCCCCTACTGGCTCTGGCGCCGGTTCGGCAATTCCAGAATTCTCTTTGGAATCCGAAATTCCTTTTAACGTTGGAAATCCTTTATCGAATCCTTTTCTATCTCTTGCATTATGTATCAAATCCCTGTCTTATTTGTTTTTCCCCCCACTGGCTCTGGCGCAGCTCGGGCAATCCAGAAATCTCTCTGGAATGTGAAATTCCCGTCTAATGCCGGAAATCCTTCTTACCCAATCCTTTTCTAACTCCCTAAATCCTTGTATCAAACCCCTGTATCAGCCGTTTTTTTCCCTCGCTGGCCCTAGCGCCGCGCTGGCAATTCCAGAATTCCTTCTGAAAATCGAAATGCCTTTTCGATTCGGAAAAAATGTTATCACATATTTTTCGAATTCTTTTGGTCCTTCTATCAAATCCTTGTCTAATTCGCTTTTGTCCCTCACAGGCTATGGCGCCGCTCGGGCAACTCCAGAATTCTGTCTGGGATTCCAAATTCTTTTCTAACTAGTGGAAATCCTGTATCAAATCCTTTTCTAACTCCTTAAATGCTTTACCACGTCCCCCCCCCTACCTCGTTTTCCCGCACTGGCTATGGCGCCGCTCGGGCAATTCCAGAATTCTCTTTGGGATCAGAAATTTTGTTCTAACTCTGGAAATCCTGTATCACCTCCTTTTCTAACTCCCTAACTCCTTTTTTATGCAATCTCTCTCTCTCTCTCTCTCTCTCTCTAATTCGTTTTTCCCCTGCGGGCTCTGGCGCCGCAGAAGCAATTACTTTGGAAATCCTGTACCAGGCCCCTTTCTAATTCCCTTCGTCTCTTTAGCAGATCCCTCTCTAATTCGTTTTTTTCCCCGACTGGCCCCGGCGCCGCTCGGGCAATTCCAGAATTCCCTTTGGGGGTCGAAATTCCATTTTAAATTCCATTCTAATTGTGAAAATCCTTTATTACAGCCCTGTCTAACTCCTTGAATCCCTCATCAAATCCCTCTCTGGCGCCGCTTGGGGAATTCCAGAGTTCGCACTGAGATTCGAAATTTCTTTCTAACTTAGGAAATCCTTGGCAAAATCCCTTTCTAATTCCTTGATTCCTTGGTCAAATCTGTCTCTTTCCCCTATTGGCTCTGGCGCCGCCCCGGCAATTCCAGACTTCCCCTTGGAATCAGAAATTCATGTCTAATTCTGGAGATCCTGTGCCAAATCCTTGCCTAATTGTTAAATTAAATTTTGTTTCAGTTTTATGTATAATTCGTTTTTCCCTCGCTGGCTCTGGCACCGCTCTGGCAATTCCGGCGTTTTTTTTTTCCTGGGGGTCGAAATTTCTGTAACTTTGGTAATCCTGTATCAGAATGTTTCTCATTCGTTTTCCCCCTGAGGGCTCTGGCTCAGCAGAGGCAACCAGATTTCTCTCTGGGGTTCGAAATTCCTTTCTAACGCCCCGAATGTGGTATCAAATCCTTTTCTAATTCCGTACATTCATGATCAAATCCTTCTCTAGGTATCCTGTATCCAACCCCTTTCTAACTCCTTCAAGCGTGTATCAAATACACTTCTAATTCGTTATCCCCTTACTGGCTCTGGCGCCGATCGGGAAATTCCAGAATTCCCTTTGGAATCCGAAATTATTTTCTGACTCGGGGAATCCTTTTATCGAATCCTTTTCTAATTCCTTATTTGTTTTATCACATCCTTTCCTAATTCGTTTTCCCCTGCTGGATCTGGCGCCGCTCGGGCAATTCCAGAACTCTCTTTAGAATTATTTGGAGATCGTTTTCCAAATACTTTTCTAACTCTTGGAATCTATTATCAAATCCCTCCCTGACACGTTTTTCCCTTACTGGTCCTGGAGCCGCTCGGGCAATTCCAGAGTTCTCTCTGGGATTCGAATGTCCTTCCTAACTTTGGAAATCCTGTATCAAATCCCGTTCTAGCTCCTTAAATCCTTTATCAAATCCTTCTCTCATTCGCTTTTCCCTTGAATCCTTTTCTCATTCGTTTTTCTGCTACTGGCTCCGGCGCCGCTCTGGCAATTCCAAAATTCTCTTGGAATCCGAACTTCCTTCCTAACTGGAAATCCTATATCAAATCCCCCTCTAATTCTTTAAATCCTTCATCGAATCCCTTTCTAATTCGTTTTTCCCTGATGGTTCTGGCGCCGTTCGGGCAATTCCAGAGTTTTCTCTGGGATTCGAAATTCCTTTCTAACTTTGGAAATCCTGTATCAAATCCCTTTCTAGCGCCTTGAATCCTCTATCAAATCCTTCTCTAATTCGCTTTTCCCTTGAATCCTTTTTTCATTCGTTTTTCTGCTACTGGCTCTGGCGCCGCTCTGGCAATTCCAAAATTCTCTTGGAATCCGAACTTCCTTTCGAACTGGGCATCCTTTTTATCAAACCCCTTTCTAATTCTTTAAATCCTTCGTCAAATCCCTTTCTGATTTGTCTTTCCCTGATGGCTCTGGCGCCGCTCGGGCAATTCCAGAATTCGTTCCGGGATTCGAAATTCCATTCTAACTATGGAAATCCTTTCCCAAATCCCTGTTTCACTCCTACAATCCTTTTTCCAAATCCCTCTCCAATTCGTTTTTCCCTTACTGGCTCTGCCGACGCGGCAATTCCGGGATTCTTTCTGGGATTCGAAATTCCTTCCAAACTTTGGAAATCTGCGACCAAACCTCTTTCTAATTCAGTAAATTATTTATCAAATATTTTTGTCTAACTCGCTTTTCCCCTATGGGCTTTGGCGCCGCAGAGGCAATTCCAGGTTTCTCTTTGGGATTCGAAATTCCTTTCTAGCTCAGGGAATCCTTCATCAAATCCCTATTATTAATGTTTAAATCCTGTATCAGATCCCCTCTCTAATTCGCTTTTCCGTTGCTGGCTCCAGCGCCGCGCGGGCAATTCAATAATTCCTTCTGGAATCCGAAATTCCTTTCTAACTCTGGAAATCCATTTACAAATTCCCTTTCTAACTCCTTAAATCCTGTATCAAATCCTTCTCCAACTCGTTTTTCCCCACAGGCTCAGGCGCCGTTCCGGCGATTCCAGAATTCGTTCTGGGATTTGAAATTCCTGTCTAACCCTGGAAATAATTTATCAAATCCCTTTCTAACTGTTCTCTTCTCCGTTGTATGATCCTTTCCAAGTCCAAAATCCTCCCCAATTCCTCTTTTTTCCCTTGTAGAATCCTTTCCAATTCCCAAATCCTCACCGCCACACGCGCACGCACGCACGCACACGCGCACACACGCGCACACACACGACATCAGACAACTAACGCTTGTTGTTTGGCCTGCGCGAACCCACCCACCCACCCACCAACATAACTCGAGTTATCGTTTTGAATGAAAAGTCAATCTCTTGATGGCATTCGGATTTCGCACGCGCGGCCAGGCGGAGGAGCTTGGCCGCGAGGCTCCGTGGCTGGCCATGGCTGGCCGCGGAGCGGGCCAGCCGGCTCTCGCAGCCACGAGTGCCGTCGAGGAGGGACAGTTGCCGTGGACCTCCCTCTCCTCCTCCTCCTTCTGGGGTCGCGCACCTTCTCCTCCTCCTCCTCCTCCTCCTCCTCCTCCTCCTCCTCCTCCTCCTCCTCCAGTTTTCGGCTCGCGAGGAGCTGCCGCCCCCCTTCGGGCGCCTGCGGGGCTGCAGGCGAGGGGGATTCGGCTCCTGTCGCGCGCTGAGACTAGCGCTCGCGCGACGGCGGCTCCCAGGGAGACCGCCGCCCACCATCGAGCGCGACTCCGACGCAAGGAGGATCGCGCCCTCCTCCACGCCTGGGCGGGGCGCTGGACTCCTGGCCTGGCGGCGCGGCTGCGCAGTGCGGCCCAGCGCTTGGACGGCCATCACGGCTCCTCAGCAGGGGCGATGGCGCCAGCGCCGGCCAAGGCGCAGGAGCAGCAGCCGAGGCCGAGGGTGCTGCGAGGTTCGAAGAAGCCGTTCTGGAGCTGCTCCTGTGGCATGGATGGCAACTGGGCGTGCCGCATCGAGTGCAGCTGTGGCAAGCAGGCGCCGCAGCGCATCATCATTGCGGCCAAGAAGGCAGATGCAGCTGCTCGCGCAGGTGATGCACCGTCGAAGCGAGCTGGAGGTAGTGGGCTCGTTGAGAAGCCTGCGCCGTGGTGCTCGAAATTCAAGCTCATGGAAGCCGAGCTCGCAAAGCTGCGGAACCTCGTCGGCAAAGGGGGCCCCGCACCGCGGCTTCAGGCTGAAGGCGACCAGCACCAGCACACGGAAGAGAAGAGTGAGAGGGATCCCAGCTTCGCGAAGAGGACGGCGCTGCAGGAAAATATCAACTACCACGAGCGTGCCCTCAAGGAAGCTGTCAAGTATGAAGAGCAGGATGGTGCGGCCCATGCGTACCACAAGGCTGAGATTGACAAGCTCAGGGAGCAGATCCGCGACCTGCGACCTCCAGCAACGGCGTACAAGCTGGCATCGCAGAAACTGGAGCGCAGCAGGACGCAGCTGGACAAGCTCACGAAGGACCACGAGGCATTGCTGCTGCAACTACAAGGACTGCAGGAGAAGATATCAGAAAAGTCGGCGTCGATCGAGGCGAAGAAGGTCGAGGTCGAGCAGTTCAAAGCGGAGGCTGAGCGTCATCAGCGGCAAGTCCAAGTTGCCCGCGGTGAAGCTTCCGACGGCGATGCACCCATTATCCCCGAGGACATCATGGCGCTCGACGTCAACCTCACGGACTTCCAGGATGATCCTGGCTTGCTGCAGTTCTATCACCAGTGCCGCGCGGACGCCAATTTCCAGAAGTTACAAAAGTTGGTGCAGAAGAAGCTGGAGGTATCCATCCCCAAGGCTCCTGCGCCAAGGAATGGTGTGCAAGTCCCTGTTAGCCCTGAGTCTGATGATGGTCTTGATGGGACAAGCAGCGGAGGCGATGGCAACGCCAATGGCGAGTCCTCCAAGCGCGGGAACGGCATCCAGTGGACCACGGAGGACGTCGAAGCTCTTCACACAAAGCTATGCCAGGGAGAACACGGCAACGACATCTCCATGGATCCGCTTTCCGACATGGTGGCCGACATCCAGAAAACCAAGTTTCGTAAGACAGATGAAGTGTCCGCAGTACCAACAGGAGGGTGTAAATCCTAGCACCCTGCCGCGCGTCAGTGGGCTGCTTGTGCGACGTGGAAAGACATGTGCTATTCCTGCGCCTGTATCCATGACAAGCGAGCACCTGTTCGAGACCTTCAATGCCAGTCAAGGGAAGCGGACGCTCAAGCTTCGATTGGAAGGGACTAGCGCGCTGGTTGTTCTAGCGCAAGAAATAGGACACTTGGACTGGGAATGCGAGGCCCTCAGCACATGGGCTGGCTCCCGCAAGTGGCAGATGATGGTTATTCCTGGGAAGCCTACAGATGGACATCTTCCGTCAGGTGGGTTGGCCATTTTCGCACGGGAAGGCGTGGGTTTACGAGGCCCTGAGTATCCTGCTTCTACGGCGGCTCGAAGACAACGCGAGACGAATGAGCAGATTGCATTCGGGTCAGAGCTGGTACCCCATCGAGCGCAGCACGTGCTTGTGGAACTGGAAGGATGGCCACCCCTCAACGTCTTCAACATATACCTGCACACGGCCGAGGGTATGGCGACGAGGAACGCTAGGATCCTCATGAACGTAGGGCTCGCGATGGCTGGACAGCAGTACCCATGTCTTGTAGGAGGCGACTGGAATATGTCTATCGACGAGGTTGAGGCATCAGGATTCCCAGTACACGCACAAGTCGGTCTTGTCAGCCCAGGCCAGGTCACATGCAGGGGGCCGACCAGCGCCACAACGATCGACTTCTTCGCCTTGAGCTCTGGAGCCATGCGACTGACGAGGAAATGCCAGGTAGACAAGACATGGCATAAGAACCCGCACCGCCCCGTCCAGCTATCGTTGTGTGGCCACGGAACGACAATGCAATACCTTGCATATGTTGGAGGGATAAAGATTGCAGCCGAGAAAGTTGTGGGTCCATTGTGGTACGACGCCGACTGGGATTTCGAGCGGAGCTATGCTGCAGAAGCATATCGCCAAGCAGCTGCTGCTCCAGTCGCCGTGGCGTGGAAGGTCTATCACGAGCGTGAGGATTTTGGGCGCGCAAGGCTGCAGTAAGGCTTGGCCACATCACGGGCACGTTCATCAAGGCGCCAGAGAATTTCAAGGGCATGATCCGACCCAAGTGGATTTCGTATGCATATGAAGGCCAAGACGCTGAATGTATCCAGGCAGTTGCTGATGGCTCGCAATGGTTTGCAGATGCTGTCAAAGGGATTGCTGCGCTCAAGAACGGCCGTGGCCGAGAGCAAGAAAGGCAACTCGCGGATGAAGTCCAAGGGTTCCTGGAGACCGACTATGTGGGCCAAAATGTCAATCATCGTCTTGACGCTTCTGTCACACGAGCTAGACGGTTGATTAGTCATGCCTCAACATCCAGCGAAGAATTACACGAATTGCTTGCTGCATGCGAAGAAGATATGAAGTATGCGAAGCAGCAGGCAGACCGAGACAGCTCTACTCGCTGGAAGGGCTGGTGCGATATTGCATGTGCAGGAGGTGCTGGGCGTTTCCATCGCGTCACCAAGCTCAACAGTGTGCAGGCGCCGACGGTAGTGTGCAAGACCACCACAGACGGCATGAGCGGATACCCTCACCAGATTGTATTGGACATGGAAGCCAAGCACCACAAACTCTGGCAGGCGACTGAGGAGGCACCGCACGCTTGGGCACCTGATCGCAGCACCGTGGATAGACCAAGTCCAGGTATGATCAGAGCAGCCTCGAAGGCATTCACCACGAAGACCTCGAGCAGTCTTGACGGCATCCACCCGTCACACTTTCAGCACTTGAGCGACGAGGCCCTGGAGTGTCTCTGTGATATCTTCCAGGCGGTGGAGGCGATCGGAGTTTTTCCCATTCAACTTACGTGGATGGTGATGCCAATGTTGCCCAAAGCTACTGGAGGACACAGGTTGATCATTCTGTACTCGGCGGCCTACAGAGTATGGCAGAAGATGAGACGGCCTGGCCTAGACATGATCCAGCAGAGATTGGACCGCCCCTACTGGGGAGCGGCAGCGGGGAGAAGTGCAGTGGACAGTGCGTGGACCCTTGCAGCGGACAACGAGCAGAACGTATGTCAAGACAGGTTCGTAGTCACGGTAGTTGCAGACTACAGCAAGTACTACGAGACGATTGGGTTGGACCAGGCGCGCGACAAATTGATGCGCCTTGGTATGCCAGTTCCGATGGTCAAGGTGGTTTACAATCAATGGAAAGGGCCAAGGATAATACGGTTGCGACTCCACCACGGGGGAGCCCCAAGGCATGCGAATGCTGGGCTGCCAGCTGGAGATGCGTATGCAGATGTGGTGAGAAAGGCTCACGCCGTTGAGCAGTATGACATGTACACGTCTTTGCATCCGCTGGTGCGCTTCGCCTCCTACATCGACGACACAGCCCTTGGCGTCAACAGCAGTGGCAAGCAGATGGTGATCGACCAGGCGGTGCATGCTACAAAAGGTTTCTTTAAGGTTGCACGTGCATTAGGGGCCAGCATCAACGAGAAGCTTGCCATCATTTCTAGCACCAAGGCCATAAGTGATGAAGTCAGTCGTCGGCTACACCTTGATATGAAGATCAGCTTGAAGAGTACGGCGTATTTGGGCACTGACGTTTCTGGAGGCAGGGCTCGGAATGCCAAAGGTACGCGTGACAAGTTTCGGGCAAGACAGAAGGTGTATGGTGGCAGGCTTAGGAAGCTACGGAAGTTCAAGAAGGCGCTCGCTGCTAAAAAGACGGAGAGAATTGGGAAGATCTACCGTGTTGGTGCGAGGCCTGCGTATACCTTCGGGGTCGAGGTCAACGGGGTTAATGACGCGGAACTCCTGAAGTTAAGGCGGGACTGCAGCAAGCACGTCAAGCCCAACCACGGCGGCATCTCCGCGAGTGCGAAGATGGTGCTGCTCGGCGACCCTGCTGCCACGCAGGCGCTGGCTCCTGCCCTCCAATGGTCAAGGATGGTGTGGGCCGCTACAGCCAGACCCGCTACCGCAGCTGTTCCTCTTGCATTGCTGGAAGCCTGGTGGAGAAGGGCAATTACCGAACCTGGAGTAGTCAAGCAGTGGAGCAAGACACGTGGCCCCCTTCAACGCGCAGCGCTTTCAGCACAACGAGCTGGGTGGCAAACGCGTACAGGGCTACTCTGGATAAACCATCGAGGCGATGAGGTGCATGTAGGGCAACTTACTCCTGGACTTCTTGAAATGATGCTGAGGCAAGGTCTAGCAGTGCAGCATGAGAAGGCTCTAGCGGAGAAGTGGGACATGCAGCCTTACACAAGAGTTACCTTCGATATTCTTCGGCGCCAGGTGAGGTCGAGAAAGTTCAACAAATATCAGAAGTTCTGTATCATGAACTGTGCCTGTGATGGAGTATGGACACGTCAAAAAGCGAAGGAGAAAGGCTACCTCACGGACGGCAAGTGCGAGTGTGGGGATGCGGACACGCTGGTGCATAGGCTGGCGGAGTGTACTCGTCCAGAAGTCGTAGAAGCACGTCGAGAAGCTGGAATCCCCGAGTCTTTCCTTCAGGAGCTCCGCCAAGCGCCGGACGATCGAGTCATCAACCAAGGGGCCTTTGCATATCCTGAGTGGGAAATTCCTGACATGCAGCTCGGCACTGGCAGCGTGATTCTTGACGGCGATGGCAACGACTTCGCTTGCACGCCCGAGACAATGGCTGCGACTGTGCTTGCTGAGACGGATCTGGAGATGGAGCTGTCGTTCGACGGGAGCTGTACGAAGCCAGACATTCTGGAGCTCCAACGTGCTGGATGGGCTATCGCTTTAATGGATCCACATTCGGACAAAGTACGATGCACGATGCACGCCCCAGTGCCAGCGTCGCTTCCGCAGTCCTCGGCGATGGCGGAGTACCTAGCCTACGCGTACACAGGACAGGTGGCAGATCGCCCTGCTGATGGCTACGCGGGCTTCATGGGTACGGTCAGGATGGCGGCCCTCACTTCCTGGGTTTCGCTTCCTCCGCAGCGTGACGCACGTGAAGGCACACCGTTCGGGAGCGGAGTATGCTGGCCTGGATATGGCTACAAGAAGGCTCACGGATGCCAATGTCTACGCGGACGTGAGAGCCAAAGCTGGTGCGGCGATGCATGCAGCTATCAGCGAGGATTTCGCGAAGGTTATCGACACGGCCACTGTGAGGATCAAGAACTTCGCGAAGCTGGTTGCGGCAGTACTACCCTTGTTTGGTCGAGATGCTCAAGAGCGTTGGACACGGCGAGCAGCCCAGACCAAGAGGGTAAGGAGTACGCGTACTGACGGATGGCACCAGTGGGGGGAAGGAAGTTTCGGTCTACAATGTAAGGCGTGCTTGAAGATCAACAGCCCAGGGGCGGAAGTTATGCTCAATGGTTGCGCTGGTGCCCCTACATTCCTCAAGGCCTTCCTCAACCAACCACTCGGACATCACCTAGTGGCGGTGAACCAGAAGGGCGACGGGCTCAGCGATGACGCGGTCCCTACGGTATTTGTCTGTGTTGGCTGTGGCGCCTGGGCGCAACAACGTCGACGGCAGAAGCTCAGGAGGCAGTGCAAGCCGCCAACCCGACAAGGCGTAGAAGTGCCGACGAATCTTCGACGGGGTCTGGGCCCACACAAGACGCTGGCGAGGCATATGGACATGACGACCCCCCTGCATAGGCTGATGCCCAAGGCCCTGCCCCCTCTGCTTTCGAAGACTTGTGTCACTCGTCCTGTGGCGATGGCGGAGGACACGGGGTATGAGCACAAGATGGCAGCCATGATGGAAAGGATAAAGGCAAAGGCAAAAGGCGAAGCGGGAGCAGGACGACGACAACAACACGATCCTCGGATGCACGCGACACGCAGTTCCTGAAGCGGCCGATCCACAACATGGGGGTAGTGGTTGCACGGGAACGGGGACGCCCACGGAGTCCCTGGTGCCCACTGAGCCTGAGGGTTCTCAGCGTTGCCACGTTGTTGATGTGCCCCCTGCGGCACAACTTTGTGGTGATCCCCTGCCCGCGCCTGATGAAGACGGAGTCGGCGCTGGTGACGGAGCACGCTGCAGCCGCGTCGGAAAGGAGGCAGGAGCAGGGCCTCAACCACCTGACGGAGACAGCGTTCTCGCCAGGGACCGCGTCGGAAAGGGGGCAGGAGCAGGGCCCCAACCGAGCGGTCGCGGCGGAAAGGAGGCAGGAGCAGGGCCTCAACCGCGCGCTGGAGGTGTGCAGCAGCGAGGGCGAGCACGGCAGCCAAGTCTCTGGGCCCTTTTTCAGGCGGCATCGGGACGACGTGCTGAGAGCGGGCAGAAGGACCATGGGCCGAATCCCATGGGAAGGGCAAGCGGTTATCTCGAGCAGCAGACGTTGGAGGCAATCATGGGCGCCCAGGCGCTCAGCGGCAACCACAGCGGGAAACATGCTGCTCGAGGCCGCGCAGAGGTCGATGGCATACCTCGAGGCCAGGCTGTGGCTGCGGTGGCAAGTACTACGGGGAGTACTTCGAGAAGAAGGGCGGAGCCAGTGGCCAAGGAGGTGCCCAGCCAGGGGCAGCGAGGTCTGCGAGCTGCTTCTGAGGGCGCACTCCACGGAGCTGCTGGCGCTACGACGTGGGGTTCTACGCGGAGTACGTCCTGCACAGCGCCTGTGGCCCTGGAGGTGTCTCCCAGGGGCGGCGCGGAGACGGCGGGGGCGATCCGCCCTAGCCGCCTATCCCCCGCGCGGCGAGGGGTTAGGCCGCAGCGGTTACGGGCAGCGCCCGACGTGATGCAGGGCGCTGATGGCGCTACGACGTGGGGTGCTATGCGGAGTACTCCCTGCACGGCGCCTGTGGCCCTGGATGTGTCTCCCAGGGGCGGCGCGGAGGCGGCTGGGGCGATCCGCCCTAGCCGCCTTTCCCCTGCGCGGCGAGGGGTTAGGCCGCAGCGGCTGCGGGCAGCACCCGACGCGACGCAGGGAGCTGTTGGCGCTACGACGTGGGGCACTACGTGGCGCACGCCCTGCACGGCGCCTGTGGCCCTGGATGTGTCTCCCAGGGGCGGCGCGGAGGCGGCTGGGGCGATCCGCCCTAGCCGCCTGTCCCCTGCGCGGCGAGGGGTTAGGCCGCAGCGGCTGCTGGCAGCGCCCGACGAGACACAGGGAGCTGCTGGCGCTCCGACGCGGGGTACTACGCGGAGTACTCCCTGCACAGCGCCTGTGGCCCTGGACGTTTCTCCCAGGGGCGGTGCGGAGGCGGCTGGGGTGATCTGCCCTAGCCGCCTTTCCCCTGCGCGGCGAGGGGTTAGGCCGCAGCGGCCGCGGGCAGCGCCCGACGAGACGGAGGGGGCTGCTGACGCTACTACGTGGGGTACTGCGCGGAGTACTCCCTGCACGGCGCCTGTGGCCCTGGAGGTGTCTCCCAGGGGCGGCGCGGAGGCGGCTGGGGCGATCCGCCCTAGCCGCCTTACCCCCTGCGCGGCGAGGGGTTAGGCCGCAGCGGCTGCGGGCAGCGCCCGACGAGACGCAGGCGCCGAGCGCCGAGCTGGCGACGCCGCTGGCTCCCGCGCTGAGTGCCCGCGGCCGCGGGCGCTCGGGCGCGGCGGCCCCCGAGGGGGCGACCTGCGACCGCAGGAGTGTCTCTCTCTCTCTCTCTCTCTCTCTCTCTCTCCTCTCTCTCTCCTCTCCTCCTCCTCCTCCTCCTCCTCCTCCTCCTCCTCCTCCTCCTCCTCCTCCTCCGCCTCCTCCTCCTCCTCCTCTCCTCCTCCTCCTCCGCCTCCTCCTCCTCCTCCTCCTCCTCCTCCTCCTCCTCCTCCTCCTCCTCCTCCCCCTCCTACCTATGGTAGTGGTGGCGGAAAGTCGGCCCATCACTAACGGGTACTTTGGAAAGTTGCCGAGAGTTGCCGTTTGGGGGCCTCTTTCTGGCACTGCAGCGTTGCCCACATCGGGGAGAGTTGGGTTCGCCGGGTCGCTGGCCAAAGTGCCCATCAGTGGAGTCCCCGCTCGAGTGGCGCTGATGCATGCGAGAGTGGCCCTTCGCCTCGAGTGACCTTTGGTGCGCGGCCGTCTGGGCCTCCAGGCGTGTCCGTCCGGTCCTGGGGGTTTCTCCTTGCCTCGCGGCCGGCTCCAGCAGCTGCGCCTCGCCGAGAGCGATCCGGGGACTCCCGGATCGTCCCGAACGGCCGCTGGAGGCCCCAGTCACGGCCCGGAGTCCGAGTGATTTTACCCTGGACTGGGAGGAGGAGGAGGAGGAGGAGGAGGAGGAGGAGGAGGAGGAGGAGAGGAGGAGGAGGAGGAGGAGGAGAGGAGGAGGAGGAGGAGGAGGAGGAGGAGGAGGAGGAGGAGGAGGAGGAGGAGGAGGAGGAGGAGGAGGAGGAGGAGGAGGGGAGGGGGGAGGAGGGAGGGAGGAGGGAGGAGGGAGGAGGAGGAGGAGAGGGAGGAGGAGGAGGGAGGGGAGGGAGGGAGGGAGGGAGGGAGGGGGAGGGAGGGAAGGGAGAGGGAGGGAGGGATGGAGGGAGGGAGGGAGGGCGGGCGGCGGGCGGGCGGGCGGGCGGGCGGGCGGGCGGGCGGGCGGGCGGGAGGGAGGGAGGGAGGGAGGGAGGGAGGAGGAGGAGGAGGAGGAGGAGGACGGGGAGGTGGAGGGGGGAGGAGGGGGGAGGGAATGGAATGGAATGGAAAGACCCGAAGGGAAAGTGCACGGCACCAAAAACGAAACGAGCTGGAATTACTGGCCGGCAGAGGCTTCCTTCAAACGAATCCTCTCGACCAGAGCAGCCATGCGCTGCTCATAAGAGGGAACCCCTGAGGCTGAGAACGACCTGGACACCTCAGTCGAGTCATGGACCGCAGAAGACTCCGAGGGGGCCAACATCTCAACCGTGGGGTAACGAGGGAGGAAGACGCTACGACCGAGGAGGGCTCTGACCTTACAGTTCGGTGGCTTCCCCTGGGTATAGCGGTTTATAACCTCCTGACCTTTCTTAGTGGGGTGTTGACCAGGAGAAAGACACGGCTGAGCAAGCTTTAGGGCTCTACCTTGGGACCACCCCCCACATCTTAAACAGATCCAGAAGTGTTTCTCAAGGACCTTTCGATCAGCACCACCCGAAGCTCGAGCCGTCAGCCCAGCCGCGACGACGAGGTGCCCCTTGGGATCCTTGAGGAGCGGTCTGATGTTGGGGGGGACCCCCTTGCAGCCATTGAGGGGAAGCTCAGTTTTGTCCTCACCCCCAAGACTGAAACACTCAGCACAGCGGAGGCCTGCAGGTCCATCGACCCACACATGCCACTCCTGTTGCACTCGATGTGTCCGTCGCCTGTGGCGGCAGACGTCGGTGCTCCTATTCCACCGAGGCGTGACCTCAAACAGCGGCAGGACGGCAGCAACCAGCTTGCAGAAGTTGGCAGCTCGTTCCACGGCCGCCTCTAACTCCTGCGAGAAGGATGGGCCGGCAGACGGGTGAGAACGGGCGGCCTCTTTCGCATGGTGGTCCACAGTGCGGTTGGCCTCTGCATGTTCACGCTCCTTCTGCTCCAACGAGTGCATCATATCCTGAGTCCGATGCGCCTTGGCATGCCGCACCTCCTGTATGAATGCTGTGCCCTCAAGCGTGTGGGCGAATTTCCTTATCCCTGCAAGCTTGCTGCGCACTGAGACCTGCTGAGCCAAGTCTTTGTTGCGCGAGCTTGATCGCAGACATGCAATCGACGCCAAGCTGAGCTGGTCTATTTGCCACCTGACCGCGCAGCGCCACACCTACGTGCTCAGACATCGCAGGCGTCTGAGGAAAACTGCCGTGGACAACTCCACGCATCACACATACTGGAACAGGATCGGACCCGCTCGGTGGGAGCACCGCCATCGCCCATGCTGCTCGCTGGAGCGCACGGAGGGGGGGGCTTCGAGCAGGACCCATCCGACACCATTCTTCTCGTCCGACAATTCAGCTAGCTGCTCAGGGTCCCTGTCCAGAAGTTCACCCGATACATCCAAAATGTCCACCTCAGCTGACGTGGATGGTTTCGGCAGCTCGCTTTCTGGGTAAACATGGATCCCACGGGTAAAGATTTCCAAGTCTGGCTCCGCACGAGCCGCTTCTAAAAACTGACTCGGAACTTCAGACTCTGCTCGGGCCTGCTCTACATCAGGCCTGGAACAAGAGTAGAGCCTGTGGTGGAGTGTGTCTACCTGCCCGCACACACACACACCGCCCGTCCGTCTCGTACCCCGCCAAACGACCCCTCACAGCAGTCCACACTCCATTGCACCCACAGCTCCTGATCAAAAACTTGGCCATCGTGCTCAACCCTCGAGCCTTGGGCCCCAATCTGGACCGTATAAGGTCCAGACTTGCCCTGTGCCCAGGAGGGTGACCTAATTTGGCTGCTAGTGCTAACTCGTGGACTCTCTGAATTCCAATCTCTAGCTGATCAGCCAGCAATGCTGGCGGTGTTTCATCTATCTGGATGGAAATCCCGCTGTGACCTTTCCATTCCAGAGGACCCACAGCCTCCCAACCCGCCCTCGACAGCACCAACACCGCGCGGCTCAACGGGCCTCGGGAGGAGCTCCAAGGTCCCTGCTCAAGGGGTCTGGCCGACTTCCAAAGCCTGAGGAGCTCATCACGGCTGGCTAGCGCTCTATCGGGTGGGGTTGTGGCAAACCAAATCATTCTGCACCATTGCAGGGCTGGCGCCACTGCTAAACGAAAGCTGGAGTCTCCTATTAAAGCCATCTTCGCAGACAGCGATACTCCTCCGTGAGATGGAGAAGTAGCGCTGCTGTGGAGCCGTTGGTGGGTAATCCATTCCCTCTGGCTGGAACCATTTATTTCAACGCCGAAGCTGCTAGCAGGTGAAACTCCCGACCGACACATCTTAATGAAGGGGGCCTCTTTGCTACAGCCTCTAAAACCCTTCTTGAAGCCTCTAACTTTGCGGACTCTACGTTTAGCACCTATAAACCTACGCTTCTGCTTAGGGCGGGCTCCCATAGCGGATCTCTGGGCTCCCGAACTCTCGTCAATTCCAAGATATGTGACGCTAGTCTTATATGTGCTGCGAGGTATTCCGAGTTCATCACATATTGAATGGCCCAGCCCCGCAGACGAAGCAAGCAGCGACACCTTGTCGACGTTGAGCACCGCGCTCAACTCGTCCGACGTCTGCCTGAATTCCCGCATGGACTCTACCGCCGTGCCCTTCGCGATGGTGATATCTCTCGAGCTGCTTCCAATCGCACGGTCATCAATGTAGTTCAGGAAGTCAACCGTCGGGCACCGTGCCACGAAAGAGTCCAATTTAAAGGCAGCGTGTATCTTGGTAGCAATGTCCGCATTGCCATCTCCAGCTGGAAGGCCGTGCGTTGCATGCAACGCTTCTACTGCATGATGTCGTCCACTCCTGACGATGCGTGGTCCGCACCACGTGTTCATTGCTATCTTGAGCCAGCACGTCGGGATGCCAACTCGCAAACACTTGTACTTGAGCTCGCGCAGAGGAATGGACTCGTAGTACTTGGACCAGTCTTTCACCCACATCCAAGAGTGCAAACCATCAGAACGATCGGCTTCACTTCTTGCCGCCTGCAGCCACGCGCAATCAATAGCTGATCTTCCTTGTCCTGCTCCCCAAAACTTGCGCTCGAGCGAATCAGCGATGCCACTTATCATCCATCGTCGTGCCCGCTGCCATATCCGATACATGCCCGCGTATAAGATGATCAATCTGTTGCCGCCCGACGCTTTGGGCAGCATAGGCATCTGTATCCAGCAAAGTTGCTTGGGCAACATTCCTATCGCCTCCGCTGGTTGCCATATAAGAGAGAGCATCCAATGCTTCATCCTCGAGCAGCAGCGCATGGCGTGGGTGGAAGTGGTCAAGCGACGATGCCGCGCCCTTCGGGAAGGTGCTGACCACTCTCCGAATCTCGACAGTCGATAGGCGAGGGCGCGAACTTCTGTCAGGGACCCATGCTTTGGGTGCTGTATCAGATGCAGCCCAGAGCTTCCTATAGTCTTCCACTTCCTTCTTCGCAACTGTGGCAGGATCGCCAGCAACGATATGGCCATGCTTGACCACCACTGGCGTGGGTATCGCCTTTACCTTGGTCACCTCGTGGAGAGCCCTCGCCCCTTTAGCTGAAGCTTCAATGCACCATTCAGCCCATTGTCGGTCAGCTTCTCGTCCAAGTGCGTTCTGAGCATGCTCCACATCGTCACATATGTCATCAAGAAACTGTTCCAGGCGGCACCGATCCATGGGAATGGCTCCGACCTCGCTTCTGGCTTGGGCCACCGTGCTATCAAGGCGCCCACGTAATCCTTGGCCGCAGTAATCCGTTGATAAGAAACTGCTAATCTCCTCCGAGCACTCTTCCATATGCGTCGTGCCCTGGTACAACTGCAGGATGGCGCCGATCGAGTGCGACAGCCACTGCCAGACTGCCAACCTTCGGCCTCAGCTTTGACCTTGGTATCTGGCCTCTCTTGGTAAGCCACGTCCACCCATCGAGGCCGAAGGTCACAACCAAACGCACCTGGCTCACGAAGATCGGCACCCGTCGCATCAGCAATGTCCTTCGCAGCCTGCGCAGCAAACTTGGCCCACACTCTGGACATGAATAGCCACACCACCTCCACGTCGCAGTTGTCATCATTGGCAATCTCCGTGCATGCTTGAGCCAGAGCTTTGGGTGTAGACCAGTCCGTCGGCTGCTTGCGCGGTCCACTTATCTGATCCACTGGCAGCGTCGGCGTCACCGTGTACACGAAGTGTTGTACCTTCATTCCGTTACCAACAATACTCATAATCATTGGCTTGTGAGGCCTCTTGCTCCACGTCATATCCGCTTCAACCCCGCGATAACCCCTCAGGAGCACATCGTTCACCGCGAAGTAACCTATGACTGTCGATCCCATTCCCCCTCGGCAGGTGATCTGCTTCGGGGCCGCCATCGTGACGCTGGCCAGGCGGGGGAACGCTGATGTCTCCAACTCATCAACTTGCATATTCCAATCAGCTCCTGCAAGACATGGCCCAGGAATTTTATTGAAAATAGAACCCATTTGCGCCAGCAGCGCTGCGTTGACCCCCGTGGCCCCGATGGAGTCCTTGAGGTACGCATTCATGACCGATATCTCTGGCCATCCTGGGATATCTAAAACTGCATGTTGGAGCCGATGAGGTACCACCTCGTGAGGAAGCTCAGGGTGCGCTCGGAGCCCCAAATCGCTACGGGCCAGGATCGCAACTCCTGCAGATGTGATGCCTTTCGTGGGGGTGCCTGGGAGTGCCATCATCTTCCACCCTCTAGCAGACGTCCACGTATATAATGCTTCTGTTGAATCGCTGTGGTAACCAATGTCTTGCAACAACATCACGTGTGCCTTGGATCGAGTGATTTTGTCTTTCAATGTTTGACGGCCACCGTTGGCGTTGAAAGACTCGAACGTGAACAATCCCTGACATGCAGGCTGCTGAACCACCTTCGACTTGCCCAAGGAGAGGGGCAGTCCAGACACACGAATGTTCGCAAATTCTGAGTGCGTCTCATCAACGTTAGGAACAACGCTGCTTTTTGGCCATCTCTCTGAGCTTACCCTGGAACGTAGCGACGTCCTTGTTGGATTCGAAGAGAAGCTTGGCCTCCTCCTCTGAGAGCTCGTCAAAGGCACGCTTGACGGGCTCATTGTGCTCTCCCTCTCCATCACCTGGCGCAGGGGCCTGTGGCATTGGAGCATCATCACTGCCGCTAAAAACAGCACCTGCAGCCTTGACCTTACCCGTGATGATTGTCTGCAGCTTCTTCCACTGGTCAGACTGTAAGAAGGCCTGTAGCTCGGGATCCTCGGTCTCCTCGGGCTGCACCTCCAGCTTGATTTCCGTGTCATTGGCGCCACCACCGTCAGCGGCTGCCGTAGTCGTGCCGTCTGCGATGAGGGCTGCCGTCCGCTTGTACTCTGCATCGAGCGTTTCGATCTCGATCTTCTTTGCCTCCAGCTGCGCCTTGCGCGTCGCCAGAGACTCCTGCAGCTTCGCCAGCTGCTCCGACTTATCGGCAATCTCTGCTTCCATCTTGTCACGCGCAGCGCGGGCCTTGTACAAGTCCTGAGCCGTCCTCCTATGTGCGATCTCAGGCGTGCGCAGCGCCCGCTGCTGATCTTTGATGCCCTTGACCTTCTCGATCGTGGCCGCGCGGATGGGATCATCATCCTGACCAGGGAGGGTCTTGAGCGCCGTTTCATATTGCAAGAGCTGTGCGGCCAGCTTCTCACGCTTGACTTTGTCATCGTCCTCTTGCTTGATCGGCTCCAGCGTGTCCTTGGTGGGCGGCACCGCCTTGCTCCATGGACGTGGGGCCTCTGCAGCTGACGTCGGGGGCGCACCGCCGCCACCCTTGCCGCCGAGGCAGAGCTCCCGAAGCATCTTCTCGAGCTCCGCCAGCCTCTTGCTCGTGTCATTCTGGTTCTGCTTGCTCTGTTTCGCCGACGTCGGAGGTGGCTGGCCGCCTGTGCCATGGATGAGCTTGTTGTGCGCATCCCAAGCGGCCTTCCTAATCCGAAGTGGCGCTTCATTTCCACATGCACATAGAACTCTCGATGCCCAGTTCGCCGCCGCTGAGCACCTTCCGCATGCCCAGAAGGGCCGCCTCGGGCCGCGGAGCACCGCTGGCTGGGGCGGCGCCACCATCGCGGCGCCGGAACCTGCTACGTGGTTCGCTTTGCTCCCTCTGGAGCACACTTGCAGTCGTACGTGACAAGTTAGCTTGAGCCAAAATGGCTTGAGCCAAAATGGCTACGGAGGAGGGGGGAGGGAGGAGGGAGGAGGGAGGAGGGAGGAGGAGAGGGAGGGAGGGAGGGGAGGGAGGGAGGGGGGGCAGGGAGGGAGGGAGGCAGGGAGGTAGGGAGGTAGGGAGGTAGGGAGTAGGGAGGGAGGGAGGGAGGGAGGGAGGAGGAGGAGGAGAGGAGGAGGGAGGAGGGGGGGGAGGAGGAGGAGGGAGGAGGAGGAGGAGAGGAGAGGAGGAGGAGGAGGAGGAGGAGGGAGGAGAGGAGGAGGAGGAGGAGGAGGAGTGACCCTACCCTGGAGTGAGTAGTGCTTTCTGGGGTGCGCGGCGTTCGTGAGGCCAGGGAGGGCCAGGCCGAAGCACGCAGGCCGCCGCTTCCGCACCGCAGGCCGCGTCTTGGGCAAGCCGCGCACCGAGGGGGAGCTCCTGCCCAGGGGCCACTCCTGCGGGAGAAACATCGGCACGAGCATACAACTCTTGGCGCTCCGCGCGGATTTCTTGGATCCGCGTTGTGGCCCTCCTGGCGGCGCCTCCGGCGCCGCCCCTGGCGCGCTCCGCGCGCCAGGGAGGGGGGCCCGCCGCGGATGCGAGCCGTCCGCGCGGAGCGCCACAAGCTTTCTGCTCATGCGCCGCTGTCTCGTCTTCTGGCTCCTGCGTGCAGCTGCGAGTGGGCCCCCGGGCCGCGGCGGCCGAGCGGCTGGAGGGCGCGCGCGCCTCTGGCTCGGCGGCCGCCCCATCGTGGTCGTCCGCGGCCGCCGCCGCCGCCGCGCGTCGCGGTCCGAGGGCCGCCGGGGCCCCGCAGAGTGCGCAGCTCCAGGCCTGCGGGCGCGAGGTCGAGCCTGGGCGGGCGCCGGCGGCGGCGGCCACGTTCACTGACGGCCCAAGAGGCCCCCAGTCTCGCCCCAAGAGGGCCCCCCATATCTATATATTTATATATCTATATATATATATATATATTATAGATATATATATAATATATATATATATATATATTATATAGCATTTTGCTCGCGGTTCGACGCTCCGGGGGGTCGCGTGACGAGTTGCGGAAGCCCCGTCCATGGAACTGCGCCGCGGCGGCATGCGGACCGCGGGAATCGCGCGCGCCGGCTCCATTTCGCCAGCGCCGACGGCACGTCGACCCAGCAGGGTACTCATAGGTCTTCAAGAGGGCCCACCGACGGCCCAAGAAGTCCTCCAGACAGCCCAAGACTTGCGAGTGCCGAAGGCCTCCTCCCGGCATCCCGACGGAGGACGCCACAGGATCGAGTTTCGAGTTTCGACGATCGAGGTTCTCCGACCTTTTTCCGTCCGTTCGGAGCCTCTGGCGTTCTCGTCGCCGCATGGCGCGACCGTGTCCGCGTCGAGATCCAGGTCCTGAGCAACCCAATAATACTTTTGGGAGCCAGCCGCAGTTCAAGGCCACGGCGGATGGCGTAAATATCAACATTGCACGAGGCTCGAAGGAACAAGGTGCGGCGCGGCGCGCCAATGCAGTCTTGCATACATACATGTATGCGTATGTGATGGGAAGTTATATTGGCAGCAGCGTCGACGAAGGAGAAGCCGAGTGCGAGGGTGAGTACCAGGACCAGGACGAAGAGGCGGAAGAGGGTAATGAGAAGGGGCGAACGACGTTGCGAGGAGGTGATATTCATGACGAGGAGGAGGAGGAACATTAGAAAAGAAGGGGGATTAACAGGAGGACGATGAGTATGATACTGAGTGAGAGGAGAGAAGGAAGCATGGTTGGGAAGCATGATGATGGTAATGATGATGATATTGCTGATGATGCGAGTGTTGATGCTGATGTGGATGATGATGTTGCCGATGATGATGCTGATGATGGTGGTGGTGATGCTGATGATGGTGATGATGATGATGATGATGGTGGTGGTGGTGATGATGGTGGTGGTCGTGGTTGTAGTGGTGACGATGATACCGATGATGATGACGATGATGCTGATGGTGGTGATGATGATGAGGAGGAGGAGGATGAGGAGTATGAAGAGGATAATGATGATGATGATGATGATGATGATGATGATGATGATGATGATGATGATGATGATGATGATGATGATGATGATGATGATGATGATGGTGATGATGGTGATGATGGTGGTGGTGGTGGTGGTGGTGATGATGATGATGATGATGAGGAGGAGGAGGAGGAGGAGGAGGAGGAGGTGGGGAAGGAGGAGGAGCAACAGGGGGAGGATTGGCAATTGCAGCATCGGCACGGAGGCGTTGAAGCGAAATGAGGATGATGAGGACTCGTTGGAAAGAGAGAATCGGGAGGCAGGCGACGACGAGAAGCAAGGAGGAAAGATGGGGACTGCGCTGGAGGGGAAAAAGGAGGGCCAGCAGAAGGAAGAGGAACATGAGGAGGCGCTGGGCACCGAAGGAGGAGGGGGAGCAGCAGAAGGAGCAGGAGGAAGAAGCGCGGCGCTGGATGTGCTGTGTGACCGAGAGGAGGGAGGCGCACAGCTGTGCTGACCAGGGAGGCGGGCGCGAAAAATCCCCGCCTCGTCGCAACCGCTGGGCTCGAACACCAGCTGGGCCCAGCCTCCCCCCAGCGCCGCCCCGCCCCCACATAGTCCACCCGCATAGTAAGGATGGGCGACCCTCCCAAGGATACCGTTGCATCCTTGCCTCCTCGGTCCATCCTTGCCGCGCCCCGCTCGAGAAGCTTCCAAACGGCCTTCCAAGGCCCTTGCGTCCTCATCGCGCATCCTTATGATACAGGTTGACTGTAGTCCCCTCTCCTGCCCCCCCTCCCCACACACAGACGCCCGCGGACGCCGCGCTGGCCGAGGCCGCGCCATGGAGTTCGACGGCAGCCACCCGGCGTTGCGGCAGCCCACGCGCAAGAGCCTGGCGGTGCCGACCGCGTCGCCGGGGCCGGAGGGCGGGGTCCCCCGCAGCGGCAGCGCGGGCTCCGCCGGGGCCGCCGCGTCGCGGAGGGCGTCGGCGTGCGCAGCGTCGCCCCAGCCCCAGTCGGCCGAGTTTTTCGATCGCACTACCCCGTGGCGAAGGGCCTTGATGGCCAAGGTGCTTCGACGCCAGAGGCAGTAGAAAGGGGGGCCAGGCTCGGGGGGGAACGCATCGACGCCCATCGCCCAGTCATCGCCGAGAGCGGGTTGCTCAGCTCGCGTGCGGCGTGTGGTCAGTCACCATGTGCACGAGTGCTGATGCGCATACGTGTTAGATGTTTCTAGCGAGCATTGGAGTATTGTGTGATCTTGTCCAGCAGCCGCGTGCAAGCAAGCAAGCAAGCAAGCTCCAAGTGAGGTCCACAAAGATGGGGTGGGAGGATCGAGCCGCACAGCCGGTGCATCGGTGAAACAGCTCGACGTGGAGGCAGATCTCCTCCGCGCCAACGGCGCCGATGCATCGCCGACGTCGCCGATGCATCGCCTGTGCACCGGCGATGTGTCGGCGATGCGGCGCGATCCTCCGACCCCATCTACTCGGTCCCCGCCTGAGAGGCCTCGAATAGCGTTTCGGCCCACAGCTGCAGTTGTCTCGGTTGCGCCAGTGTCCTTGCTGGTCAGTTCCCTTGTTCGGCGGGGCCCTCAGAGGAAGGGTGCGGGGAGGGAGAGGTCCGCACCGACCCAAGAAATCCGCGCGGAACTCCCGCCCACGGACATTCAAATCGTGCCTTGCGGTAGATGCTCCACCATGGACCCCGTTTGACTAGATGTTTTCGTATTTGAGGCGTTGGGATGCGGGAGGCTCGAACGGACAAGAACACTCGCACCCCAATGTTGCCGTTGGCATCGCGATCAGCATGTACAGATCGGGGGGTATCAGCATCCCCCCGAAGTTGGCAGGGGTAAGACATTTTGTGCACATCTGCTGTCCGACGGGGTATTCTCGTGCTGTTGTCTGTGCTGCTCTTAGGTCGGGCATGCCCTCCTACAGGCAGATTCTGGAGGAAAAACAGTAATCAAAAATTTTCAGTCGCAAATATTCAAAAATCGTCCCCAGACTATTTGTTGACTATGTTTGCATATTCCCCCTGTAGAGGGACAGGCCCGACGTAACGCTGCTCCTGAAAAGGTGCACGACACCTGGAGGTCCACCACCCTGGCCGACCCGGACATGTGGCCGTGGTGGCGGGCCTGCCTAGGCCACTGCATTGACACCATATGGGTCGACGTGGAGCACGAGGTTCGAAGAATAAGCAAGGAAGATATTCCCATTGGTCGTTGAAAGTGGGTATTTTGGGAGCCCCAGGTTTCAATCTAATTACTTTAAGCGCTCCCTACTTCAGAAGTCGAATGGTTTTCCCTCTTCCCTCCTATTCAGGATGCGGGCGGCGACCCAATCTACTTCCAACGCCTTCCTACTTCATGTTTCTACCTACTTCTTCAGACCGATGGGTACACATAACCGTTCGGAAAACCGCGCGGGTTTCTTCGATCTGCGCTGGGCCGCCCTGGCGGCGCCTTCGGCGCCAGCCGGGGAAGGAGGCTCTGGCGCCGATCCAAGAAGTCCGCTCGGAGCTACGACATGTTATACTTACGTGTTTGTTTCTTCTAGAGGTTGAGCGCCGTTTTGCGAACGCGCTGAAATGGGTGCCTATAGAAGACACGGATGACATAGAGCCCCCTTTCACGGACGCCCCTTTGCCAGTTGAGGGCTCGCGCCTCTACCGGTTGAGGGCGCACACACATTATTGGATCCGTTTCCATTGGCTGAGAGTTCGCGCCTACGTCCTACACCATTATTTGGCGCACGACCTTTCTTTCTTCGGCAAACTTCATGATCGCGTGTTTTTGCTAATGCTTCTCATGACGACCATCCCAGTCACTGGCATGCGAGAGCTGTTTTTCTCAGTGGTACTTTTGATGCTGTTATTTCCAGGTCCTCCAGACGAGTTCCAACTTGTCAATTACATCCTTGTCATCAAGGGCACACAGTTTCTCACTTCTGGTCTTGCTGGACTGTCTTCTGGGGCCATGAGATATTTTATGTGCTACACGTTTTTTAAGGACGATTTCTTCCAGTGCGTCGAGAGGCATGGCCCTGGCGCCAGAGTGTCGTACTACGGCCAGCTCTTCAACTACTTCGGCAGCACCGTGCTCGTCTGGATCGCGTTCTCCCGGCTGAAGACCTCCACAAAGCAGGCGTCGGTCGACATGTCTAAGAACGCCGAGCCGCCCCCGAAGGACACGTGGCAGAAGCTCCGGTGGCTGCTCTACTACGACATGGCGTGCTTCGCGCTCTCGCTTCTGCTCCTCGGACTCCTCGCGGGGGTGACGTGCTCAGTCCGCTACTGGAAGCACGGCGCGCTCGACGGCGTCTCCGAGGGGAAGGATTTCCACGCGAACCTGTTCTGGTGCACCACGCTGTATGCGCTCCTGTCCATCCCCTTCTTTGCGATGAAGTGGCTCTCGAAGAGCAGAGAAAGCAGAAGTACAGTGCGGGCGCGGCCGCAGGAAACCCTCGCAAGAAACCCAGCCCTGAAACCCGCAGGCGCGAGATGCAAGCGTGGAGCCCAAAGCACCCTGAACGCAGCAGCCACGGGAAGCCACCGCGCAGCGCGCGGAGCGAAGCAACCCGTGGCACCTTGACCGAAGAGCAGTCTGCTTCGGAGGCAGGAGGCGGCAGGAGAAGGAGGAGACAGGAGGAGGAGGAGGCGGCGGAGGAGGAGGGGGACGAGGAAGAGGAGGAGGACGAGGAGGAGGAGGAGGAGGAGGAGCAGGAGAAGGAGGAGGAGGAGGAGGAGATGAGGAGGATGAGGAGGAGGAGGCAGGAGGAGGTAGGAGTGAGGAGGAGGGGCGGAGGAGGAGGAGGAGGAGGAGAGGAGCGAGGGGGAGGTGGAGGGGAGAGTGGTTTGGTTTCTTGATGCGCGCTCCCAGCTGTGAGCAGAAGCTTTCGGAGGCCAGCGCGGGTTCCCTGGTTCGGCGCGCCTCCGTAGCCGGCCCTGGCGCGCTGCGCGCCAGGGGGGTGGTCCAGCGCGGGCCCAAGAGCCGGCGGCTGCAGGAGGGTCGGATCGCCCAGGGGGGTGACATTACAGAGGGCTCCTCCTCGTCCTCCTCCTCGTCCTCCTCCTCGTCCTCCTCCTCCTCCTCCTCCTCCTCCTCCTCCTCCTCCTCCTCCTCCTCCTCCTCCTCCTCCTCCCCCTCCCCCTCCCCCCTCCTCCTCCTCCTCCTCTCCCCTCCTCCTCCTCCTCCTCCTCCTCCTCCTCCTCCTCCTCTCCTCCCCTCCTCCTCCCCCCTCCTCCTCCTCCTCCTCCTCCTCCCTCCTCCTCTCCTCCTCCTCCTCCTTCTCCTCCTTCTCCTCCTCCCCTTTCTCCTCCTGCTCCTCCTCCTCCTTCTCCTCCTCTTCCTCCTCCCCCCCCCTCTCCGCGGGCATATATGTGGGTCCGACCGTCCATGTCTTCGACGAGGCTCCCTGGCGAATGCGCGTAACGCCCGCCCCTGGGGCTATCCACACCCTCCGCTTCCGCCGAAAGAAGCCCGCGCGGGCCTCCGAAGGTTCGGCGGCGAGCGAAGGGCGGAAGTGAGAAGAAGAAGAAGAAGAAGGCCCTCTCAGAAGGCGGCGGGACTTCTCGGAGGCCCTCGCGCCTCCTGTGAAATTTTTGTGTCCGTCTTCGAGGGAGGCGTTGAGAACACTTCTCGGAAGGCCGGGGGACTTCCGAGCCTTCTGAGAAGGCCTTCTCCTTCTCACGTCTTGCGCTCCTCCTCCTCCTCCTCCTCCTCCTCGTCCTCCTCCTCCTCCTCCTCCTCGTCCTGCTCCGCCCCCCCTCGCCCGCAGCCAAGATGTGTTTGCCCGTGCCGGCTGCTGCTTCGTCCCCCCAGGCTCCCGGGCGCGCTCGCCGTGCTCACGCACACCACGAACACGGGGTACTCTCGCGGGCGGGAGGCGCACGGGGCCTCCCGGAGTGGGCCTCGCCTTCGGGGGGCACTCCAGATGTCGTAATAAAAGGGAGGGGGTCTGGACCCTCCAAGGCAAGCCATTTCGGACCTCCCCCGTGGGAGAGCCCTCCAAAACATCGTCCCCAGACCCCCCGGGCCCTCCAAGATAGCCTGGCAGAGACCCCCCCCGAAATGAGACCCCCCTCCCGTTATTACGAAATCTGGAGCATCGAGGAGTTGACCCAGACATGATCGCGTCGTAAAGAAATCAGGGCGGCAAGTTTTTCCCTATTTTCGGCCCCTGGGGGCCCTCGCTGGGCCCCGTGACCGTCAGAAAACGACTCGGGATGACACACCAGCCCCGGGGAAAGGGTCTGGACTTCCAGGGACGCCGCCCTGACAAAACTCAGGACGCCGCAGGTCTGGGGATGCCTCTCCCTCGGCGGAGGGCCGGCGGGAGCAAGACGGTGGCGGCTCTGCCTCGGCAGGCCCGCGGAAGCCGGCGGAAGGACGGCATGTGCTCTTTAGATCATCGAGCCAGGTGATCGCAAACATGGATTACAGGGGGGCGTGGACCAGCGGTGGGTCTCGCTCCCGTGGGGAATCGCGGATTCCCGCCGCCGAGCGAGGCGGCACCGGCCGCATTTCGGGGCGGGCAGCTCCCCCGATCCAGGGATTTGGCGACCGCGCGCCAAATCCATGGATCGCCAATCCATGCTTGCGCGCCCCCGAGAGAGAGAGAGAGAGAGACGGCAACACTGTTGGTTCCAGGGCTCTCGGAACGAGCCATGTCCATACCCACGGCCTCGCCGCCTGGAACTTGGCCGCCCCCCCCCGTGCCCCGTGGGTTCGGGGCGGCTTGGTGCGGATGCACCTGGGCGGAACGCACTCACGAGATCGCGCATGCACGGGCCGCATCGCGCCCCGGTGGCCAAGCCGCGAGGGCCTGCAGACAGCCGACGGAGCTCCGGGGCCGGGTTCCCTTTTCTGGGTCCCTGTTGGCTTGCCCCGGGGCCCAGCCACCGGAGGCCCAAGCCGCGGAGCACCGGCCGGACATGGGCAAATGCGAGCCCGTCGGGTGCCGGCAGGGTTTGCTCAGGCAGACAGGTGTCGGGTTGCTCAGGAAGGCAGGAGAGATGTGGGCATCATGGCCCGTGGGCGGGCGAAGGCATCGCGCATTGCATCCGAATGCTATTGCTCATACCCCTTCCCAACCCCCAATCAACCAACCCCTTGCTCCCAACCCCTTGCTATGGCATCGCATCCTCCCAACGCCTTCCTCCCAGCACGATAGTTGTCCTCATTCGCTCGTCGCCCGTGAGGTACAACGCCCACGGCGCGTGCGTGGCCTTCCGCTTCCGCGCCCCCGCCGACGCGGGGAACGGCGGGCCGACGCCGCAGGGCCCGCCCGCGTGGTCGTCGGGCCAGGTGGCCGTGCAGATCACCCGGATGCTGCGGCTCGCGGAGAGGCCTGGGGAGCAAGACGTCATGATGGTGGAGGTGGAGGTGGTGATGGTGAGGATGAGGATGAGGATGTGCATGTTCTTTATGCTGAGGATGATAGTGGTGATGACGATGAGGATGATGGTGGTGGTGGTGATGGTCATGGTGATGGTCGTGGTGATGGTCACTGTCGTGGTCATGATCGTGGTGATGGCGATGGTTATGGTGTTGATGATGATGAGGATGCTGCTGCTGATGATGGTGGTGTTGGTTATGGTCATAGTGATGGTGATGATGATTCGGTTGATGGTCATGGTGTTGGTGATGGGGATGTGGATGATGCTGCTGATGATGATGATGATGCGGATGCTGATGATGGTGATGATGATGGTGGTCATGGTGATGGTCGTGGTGATGGTGATGGTGATGGTGATTGTGATGATGGTGAGGAGGAGGAGGATGATACTGATGATGGTGATGATGGTGATGGTGACAGTGACGGTGATGATGATGGTGATGGTCATGGTGATGATGATGGTGATGGTGATGATCATGATGATGGTGATGGTGAGAATGATGATGGTGACGATCGGGATGGTGTTGATGATAATGGTGATGATGATGAAGATGCTGAAGATGATGAAGATGATGCTGGCGATGGTGATGGTGGTGGTGATGATGGTGATGGTGATGATGATGGTGATACTGATGGTGATGATGATGGTGGTGGTGAGGGTCATGTGAATAGTCATGGTCATGGTCATGGTCATGGTCATCGTGATGATGAATAATTATGAGGATGCTGATGATGGTGATAATGATGGTGATTTTGATGATGGTGGAGGTTTTAGTGGTGGTGGTGGGGATGGTGATGGTGGTGGTGATGGTGGTGGTGATGGTGAGGGTCATAGTGATGGTGATGGTCATGGTGATTGGGATGATGATAATGATGAGGCGGATGCTGGTAATGCCAATGGTGATGGTGACGATGCTCGTGATTGTGATGGTGATGGTTATGTTGATGATGGTGATGCTGACAATGGTGATGGTGCTGATGATGATCATGAGCGTGATGGTTATGGTGATGGTGAGGATGTTTATGGTGGTGGTGATGATGATGGTGATGATGAGATGTTGATTATAGTGATGGCGATGATGATGGTGATGGTGATGGTGATGATGATGACGACGACGATGATGATGATGAGGGGAAGGGGAGGATGCTAATGATGATGTTGGTGATGATGGTGTTTCTGATGGTGATGATGGTGATGATGGTTATGGTGATGATGATGGTGATGGTGATGATGATGGTGATGATGGCGATGATGGTGATGGCAATACTGATGATTTTGATGTTGCTGGTGATGGTGATGATGATGATGATACTGGTGACGGTGATGATGATGATTATGATGATGGTGATGGAGATGATGTGGAGTGTGACTGCGATGGTGACGATGATGTTGGTGAAGCTGATGCTGCTGTTGATGATTGTGATGGTGATGGTCATGATGACGATGCTGATGGTAATTGTGATGATGATGTGGGTAGTGATAGTGAGTGTGATGATCTTGATGGAGGTCATGTTGATGATGATTGTGATGGCTATTGTGATGGTCGTGATGATAGTGATGGTGATGGTGATATCGATGCTGGTGATGATGATGGTGATGGTGATGTTGATGATACTGATGGTGGTCATGCTGATGTTGATGATGGTGATGATCATGATGCTGCTAACGATGATGCTGATGGGGATGGTGGTGATGATGGTGATGGTAGTGATGATGATGATGATGATGGTGATGGTGATGGTGATGATGATGATGTTGCTGACGGTGATGGTGATGGTGATGATGATGTTGATGATGGCGATGGTGATGGCGATGCTGATGATTATGATGGCGATTATGATTGTGATGGTGATGGTAATGATGATAATCCTGGCCATGGTGATGGTGGGGGTGATGGTGATTATGATGATGGTGATGGTGATCATCATGTCTATGGTGATGGTGATGCTGATGAATATGACACATGGTGATGCTGATGATGATGATGATTGTCATGGTGATGGTGACGGTGATGGTGGTGACGATGATGATTATGAGGGTGATGGTGAAGGTGTTTCTGATGGTGGTGATGGTTGTGATGATGATGGGTGGTGATGCTGATGATGATGCTGCTGGTGATGGTCATGATGGTGATTATGATGATGGCGATGCTGATGGTAATGGTGATTGTGATGGTGATGGTGATGATGATGACGACGACGATGATGATGAGGGGAAGAGGAGGATGCTAATCATGATGTTGGTGATGATGGTGCTTCTGATGGTGATGATGATGGTGATGCTGATGATGATGATGATGGTGGTGATGGTCATGGTGATGGTGATGATGATGGTGATGCGTTGCCTGTTTTCGGAGGATACGTCTGTTTTGCGTTGTTCTTTCGTTTCGGATTCACGGGCCCGCTGCCCGTTCCGCGACAATCACCAACGGATCTGGGACGGCCCCCCCCGGGGGGGAGGTGGCCGAGATCTCCGGGACCGCGGACTGAACAAACCGTATCGTCGGACGTCTGGAAGCGGGGGCGCGGGCCCGCGCGACCCCGACCAACCTTTCCGGGTTGGGCTGTTTCTCTTGGCGAAGCTCTTCCACGTCTGAGCGCCCTCCCCCTCCCTTGGCTTCGCCTCTCCCTCCTGCGCGCTGGACAACTTGCCAATCGGTTGCCCCGAGTAGCCCCACGCTAGTGCGGACTGCCTCTGCCTCGCCGCCGGCGAAGAACGAGCTCCTCCTGGCGGACTCCATGCAGAGGCGAGGGCCGCTAGATACTGAGAGATTCCTGGAACGTATCCTCACCCAGTCGCATCATGACATCATTCTCCTCCCGGGAGGGGCCGCGTCGCGCGGGGCGAGAGCTACGACGGCTCCGTAGCCCTCGGGGACCTCATCTGGAAGAGCAGAGGGCGGCATCAGTGCACACTTTCGGAGGCCTGCGCGGATTCGGTTGGGGTCGGCGTTGGGCCCCCGTTGGGGGAAGACACACGATGACCATGACCAATATGTCCCAGGATCTTGTCGACGCTGGTCCTGGTTATGGTCCACATCGGCCGTCGCCGATTCGGGAGGATGGTCCACGAATCGACGACGATCAAGACGGACGGTAAGCGCGACACCGGCGTTCTCCGCGTTCAGTGTTGGTAATGGTGCTCGTGTTCTTTCCCTTCACTGGCTCCGCCAGGGGGGTCCAGCCCCGACCTTGAGGAAATCCGTGGGTGCCTGTTCCTTCTCCTCCTCGTTCTACGCTTTGGCTGTTCCCCCTCGGCGGTGAACTCGTGGACCAGCTCCTGCCGTGAGAGCGCCGCCTCTGGCCCTGCTCGACTGGAGGCCTCCCTCGCCTGGCATGCCGCGGACACTCTGAGAACAACACACAGACACGATCGAGGAGCTCCGCGCGCGCCTCCGAGAGCTTGCGCTATCGTGCCGCTCTCGGCCCTTCTGCGATCGCCGGCGTCTTCCCGCGCTGGACGGGCTTCCTGGCCAGGCGGCGGCAGAGCCGCGAGGACAGGAGGCGGCAGCGCCTGCAGAGCGCCAGCGGCCGCAGGTCCGCCGCCGCCGACCCGTCTCCCGCGCGGAGCTCGCCGGACGAGGCCGCGCCACGAAGGGAGCCCAGGTCTCCGAGGAGGGAGGAGGGAGGAGGAAGGAGGGAGGAGGAGGGAGGAGGAGGCGGATGAGGAGGAGGAGGGAGGAGGGGGAGGAGGATGAGGAGGAGGAGGAGGGAGGAGGAGGTAGGAGGAGGAGGAGGGGGAGGAGGGGGAGGGTGATGAGGAGGGAGGATGGAGGAGTGAGAGGAGGGAGGAGAGGTAGAGGAGGAGGATGAGGAGGAGGAGTAGGAGGAGGAGGAGGAAGAGAGGGAGGAGGAAGGAGGAGGAGGAGGCGGAAGGAGGAGGGGAGGAGGAGGAGGAGGAGGAGGGGAGGAGAGGAGAGGAGGACGGAGGAGGAGGAGGAGGGGAGGAGGGAGAGGGAGGAGGGGGAGGTAGGAGGGAGAGGAAGGAGGAGCGGATGAGGGAGGAGGAGGAGGAGGACGGCGACGATGTGTTTGTCAAGCCCTGCTTGCTGGCCCCGGTGTCGGTCCCTGGGGCCCGGTGTCGGGCCCCCAAAGAAATACAGGGCCGGGCAGGCACACCCGCTCCGGGGCGGCACCTGGCTCTGCAGGGAAGCCAGGGGCGGCCTTCAGGGAGCGAAGTGGTTCGCGCTTCGCGCTTCGCGGTGTGGCTCCGATCCCCCGTCCTCCTCTTCTCCCCTGGGAGGCGGCGCGAGAGCGCGAAGCGACTCGCGCTCTCGCGCAGCGCGCAGCGCGAAGCTGGGAGCCCTCGGAAGCGGTCGGGAGATCGCAGGCGCCGCGCACTGAGACGCCCACATTGTCGGAGGTCTGGGAGCGGGCCCGAGTGAGCTGGGCCCCAGACCTTCTGCGGGACGTTTCCCAGGACCGGCTCTTCGTCTTGAGCTGTTTCTGTTTCGGCCCCTGAGCCCGTGGAAGGCCCCAGGAGCGTTGGAAAGCTGTCCTAGGGATCGTCCAGCCTCCTCCTCCTCCTCCTCCTCCTGCCCGTCCTCCCCACGGTCCCTCCTCACCCACCCCTCCTCCTCATTGTCCCCTCTTCCTTCTCCTATTCCTCCTCCTCCTCCTCCTCCTCCTCCTCCTCCTCATCCTCATCCTCATCCTCATCCTCTTCCTCCTCCTCCTCCTCCTCCTCCTCCTCCTCCTCCTCCTTCTCCTTTCTCGTCTTCCTTTCTCTTCCTCCTCCTCCTCCTTCTCCTCCTCCTTCTCATCATCCTCCTACTCCTCCTACTTATCCCCTCTTCATTATCCTTCTTCTTCTTCTCCACCTCGTCCCCAGTCTCATCCTCATCCTCATCCTCATCCTCATTCTTCCTCGCACTCCTCCTCCCCCAGTCCAGTCTTTTCCTTTATGAACAGTTCCCCCCTGTCGCACCCCGAGGCCGGTCGAAAGGGCGG